GCTCAGATGCATCCACTCCTTGTGACTTATGATTTCTAATTAAACTGTTTTGTTCTTCGATATTACTATTCTTTTTGTCTCATGTCGCTGTTTACTGTCTCTATTATGCATTTCTTCTACTTTCTCCTCTTCCTTTGTGTGCTACATGGAGGAAGTGTGGCGACTTGAACTGCTGCACATCTGTGCAAAGTTCTATGTCGAAAACAGACAGACAGCTACCGAAACTTCAAAGCTCTAGCTTGAAGCCTTATGTTCCACTGGGAACGTAAAGGAATAAAATTTTAAAAAATATATGTATATATTTCGGCTACCAGGGATGATAGCCTTTGTTTGGTGAAGGAATTTATTGTAAAGGGCTGGTGGTTATAGTTGGACTGAAAATCTAAGCTTCTACAGGACTCGAAACACACCAGTCTTCGAATTATATCTACTGAGCTTGATACTAGCCTCTCACCCATTAATTTTGTTCTAAATAGGACAAAACTGATGGACACGACCGCTAACCGAGTAACATCATTTCACTTATGAAATATATGTAAACGCCGATTTGAGTATCCTCATTCTATCAATAATCATGGAGAGTTAGCTCAATTTGGTAAATCCACTAACCGTTAACCCGAAAGCGTGATTGGATGATGGTACGGCTACTCAAGTTAAGTGTCTAACAAACCGAGCAATAGCACAAGAAAAGACCTAAATGATGAAATAAAACAAATAGAAGAGGCGTTGGTGTTAAATAACCATCCTAAAAAAATTCATTAGGAAGATCGAAAAAGGCCGAAAGCAAAATAACAATAATTATGAAACTAGTAATGATAACATAAATAAGAGAGAATATAAGTCATCTGCTGTTATACCATATAAAGAGGGGACATCTGAGGCCCTACGTAGGATTCCTAATAAAGCAGAAATTAGGGTGGCATTCAAACCTACAAACTTACTCAGAGACAAGTTCTGTAGGCTAAAAGACCCTGTGGATCCAATAAAACAAAATAATATAATTTACAAAATACCCTGCAATGACTGTGAGGTCAACTATATAGGTCAGACTAGTAGGTCGGGGGTAGTGAGATTGTCGGAACATAAGAATTTAGCTAAGGTAAGAATGGTTGACCCCGAGAAGATAAGTAATTTAGAAAAAAGCTCAGCGACTGCACTGCATGCATTAACACACAACCACACAATAGGGTGGGAGAGGGTTAAAATTCTAAGAAGTAATCTATGTAGGTGAAGAAAGAGATTGATTACTGAATCCTACTTGGTTCATTGAGTCTACACCCAACACATGCAACAGAAATGACTCAATGCAATTACCAGAGATATGGAGGATATTATTACCATCAGTCGGTCAAATCAGAGGAGGATAATAAATAGTCTTGAAATTCTTTTTGAATTCAAGCACGTCAGAACATTTTAACAAACACTCGTCTTATTTCCCATCTGATTGTAACTGATCAATAACACTCATATCATTATTTCTGAATGCACATTATCCTATATTGATTTTTATTCAAATGTCTAATCATCAGTTTCAATCATGTATATGAATGAAGTAAAAAGTTGTGTGAGTGACTTGATATGATTACGAGCAATAATTTGTGCTCGAAACGTGGTCATCAGTTAATATTACTGTATAACACTGTATGATTTATCAAAATAAAATCTTATCCATAATGGAGTTACTCAAGTGTTCGTCTTAACCCTCCTCCATCATTACTTCCATTACTTTGTGGTTGTCATTGTACATTTGTTCCACTTGACCACAGTATTGTGTTTATGCACAGTTGAATAATGACACACTAGATAAAGGAGTACACAGCTAAATATTTACCAGTAGTAGTTCTGCTTCATGAATAACAGAACAAATTGGTTAACAGTTGAAAGATGCTTCTACTGGTGAATGTTGTTTCATGAAATAATCGGCGACTTGTATATAAAAAGCATGACATACATTATTTTATTATTATTGTCGCCTTGAGTACCAAGTGGAACACAGGGCTTCAACAGCACATCTCCAGTTTGTCCTCTTCTCTGCGATACTCTTCAGCTGCACCCCTGGTTGTCTGTAATTTCGCATCTCCTCATACGATCTCCATCATCTCGCCGTCGAAGTGAGCCTCATTCGTCGTTCCCCATTTAGGTCCCACTCGAGCGATGGGCTGGTGCGTGATGTCATCCGACAGTGTCCTTGTAACAACAGAAGACAAGGGCCAGGCAACAGATCGTTTATTAAGGAAAATCAACACATATTTATAGATTTTAATGTACATTATTGTAGATTATTGTTAGTAGAAAATACAGTCTTTTGATTGGTTGTTTCTCACAGAAAGTTAACCTTGCATCTCTTTGTGGTTGTGTCAGATCATCCATATGCTAACTGTATCCGCCTACGCAAAGCCTTTGTTCTCATTTTCTCACCATCAATATTGGGGACATAAACATTGACATCAATTACTGTCTACCAACTTTGGCTAGCAGCCAGCTCTCACCACATCCTCAGCATGTGTCCAATCCATCTCCATTTCCTTCAGTATATATGTTCTGCAATAGGTTCTTGATTGGTTCGTTCCACTGTAGAGTTTTTTTGTTTCTTATTCTTTCTGGCTGGCCATCTGATCTTCATTATGGAGTCAATGAACTGGGTACCTGTTGATAATAATCTGCAGCAGTCTGCTGGAAATGCTTTTGGTGACGCAAGCGCCATGTTTCTGACTCATATAGAAGAACTGACTTAACATTGGTGCAGCTGAATTCCAAACTGGTTTCATAGTGGTGAATGTCTATTTTGCCTTTCTAATCCTGGCTGGTTTTAACATCCTCATCTGTGGCATCCTTCTGTAGTTGAAAGGATGTTGTTTGGCTGGATAATTGAAGGAAGTGACTTCTTTCAAGTTCCTCTCTTTGAGAGTGATTGGTGCTTGTTGTTGTTATTGTTGGTTGGTTATCTTCATCACCTCTGACTTTTATATATCCACTTGAAGTCCTGTCTTCGCTGCCATCTTCTTCCGACACTTTGTTGGTTTTCACCTGCCTGAAAGTCTTCGACTTTATATGACATTAGATATAAATCATCCGCGAGGTTCAAATCTCCTAGAGTCTTCTTATCGGTGATCCAGTGTATTCTTTTCTCCTCGCACCCCACAGTCTGACGCATAATCCAGTCCACCACAATTAGTAATATCCCCAATGATAATCAGTAGCCGGCCTTGTCCTACTCCTGTATTCATTTCGAATGCCTCGCTAAGTTCTCCATTGTAAATCAATTGACATGTGACGTTGTCATATAGCTGTTGAATGAGGTTGATAAAGATTTGAAACACGGCGTATTGTTGAAGTAGTTTCTAAATTACTTCTCGGACGACACTGTCTGTCGAAGGCCTTTTCGAAGTCGATAAAGCTGTTGAGGTAGAGGTGTGACTACCATTCCGCGCTCTGTTCTGTGATGATATGTGGAGTGAGTACTATTTAATCCTCACACGATTTACCTCTACTGAATCGAGCTTGTTCCGGTGGAGTGAAGTTTTGCATCCAGTACCTCTTTTATTCTCTTCAAGATGACGCGACTTAGTATTTTACGTGGCGTGAACAAGAGTATGATTCCACACCACTTCTTACAGAAGCCTAATTCACTCTTTTTTGGTAGTTTGGAGAGACAGTCTTTCTTCCTTCCAAACTTCTTGCAATAGTGAAGTGTGAGGATATCCGCTGCTGCCTTCCTGGACTTCAGTATCTGATAAGAGGACGTAATTTATTTAGAATGTGTTTCATATAAGCAACTAGTATGATAGTGAGAAGGTTAGTGGACTGGCAGATTAGTAATTCTTTACGAAGGCATATGTGGATGTACTGTCGTCACAGATTATCACAATACTAAATATCTCACTTTAATAGCTGAAGCCGTCATGCAAAAATTAGAATCAATAGCTCTACCTATAATTAAACCGAAAATCTGGATACGTTACGTTGATGATATATTTGAAGACATCAAATTCACAAGAGAAGAAGAATTAGATAACAAAATCCTATTTTTAGATGTCTTAATCAGGAGAACTAACAAAGGAAATTACTCACAAACGAAACTGTGTGCAGACATTGTTTAAAAGAGTTCAAACACAATGTAGCACTCCAAAGTTAAAAAGAATGGAAGAAAAATACTTACAAACGGTCTTCAAAAAGAATGGTTATCCACAAAATTTCATCAAAAAGTGTTTAAAGTCGAATCAAAACACCAACAAGAAACCACCATCAAAGACCACAAGAAAATTCATCCTACTATACATGAGAAATATCTCTGAAATAACAGCTAGAATACTGAAACCGTTTGATATAGATATAGCACACAAGCCAGTCAAATCGCTTAATTCGATATTGTGCAAACCGAAAAATTCGACAGAAAAAGGAGATAAAGTTAATACTATTTACAAAATAAATTGTATGGACTGCAACAGGCATTACATCGGCCAAAGTGGGCGTTCCCTTCGAATTAGAATCCAAGAACACAAATCATCCGTGAAAAGACACGATACATATTCTTTAGTATCAATGCATATAGGCAATTATGGACATCAATTTGATTGGGATCATGTCAAAATGTTAGACAGAGGAAACACCATAAGTGCCAGGGAATTTCTAAAAGCCTGGTGCTCAAACGAATATGCAATTAACAAACACGTTAATATAGACGAAATGTACCAACTAATAAAAAGTAAATCAGGTGACCAGAAAGTTTAAAATCCAAGTCAATAGAAAATGGTCAATACAGATGTAAAGATGGTTACCAGGAGACGCAATTATATCACTCATGAAGAAATTTAAATTATTTCACTTTATGCTAAGTATTGCGCCGAAGATATTGTCCAGAAGGACGACGAAAGCTCAGAGAACACTATTAATTGCAAACCATCCACCTGAGCTACAAATCTCTATTATTTCAAATTGTATTTTAGTTTGCAATTCCTAATTTGATTCTAGCTTATTACGGTTATTATCTTTTTTTGTAGGATGCTGAAGAAATTATAAATTTCTTACGTAGTAATAATGCCCCACCAGGTGATATTGATTTTGTTGACTTATCCTCTGCTTCACTGCCATCATCTTCTGGACCACAAACTTCTATCACATCAACAAACAATGTAAAATCAAATATTGGCTTGACAAGCGAACCTATTTACTCATCAGGCAGTGTTGTACTCCCAGCAAATTTTCATTGTTCTGTTTGGGCTGCAGATCATGCTGGTGGAACAGGCCGTGGTGGTGGGGGTGAAGCATCAATCAATAAACAGTACAATCCTCCGTCTGGAGAAGCAATGATTTACGGGGAATCTGGTTCTACCTATTCTGCCTCATATGCATCAACAACCGCATCGACAACAAATGGTCCTACGAATGGTAGTCTCGGCGGTGGTGGTGGTAGTATGAATAGTCGACGTCCTAGTGTTAGTGATCATTTCGCTGTACCAAATCCACGTCATCCTAGTCAACAATTGTATGCTTCTAATGGTGCTGGATTTTTCCGTAGAATTTTTTCACGACGTAGTAGGGTAAGATGATTTGAAATATTTTGAAAATCTTTTTCGAGGTTGACTTTTTATTTTTTATGAGGTAAAATAACAATTTGCGGCAGATTTTTGAATATCGTCGATGGCATTTTCACCAGACGATGAGAGATAGATGTAACACTATGTTATAATATTTTGAGAGCTTTTAGTGGTGAACCTTTATCTTGTTAAAATGATATCCTTCTATATTGTGACATAAATCAGAGAGCATATTGTGTGAATATGCATATGACGTATCAAGTTTTAAATTTTCGCCTTATATCCGGTAATCTATTCTACTGTGATAGAACTTCTAAATATCCACACCGTTTTTTGCAACTTAACCTGTAGTTTTCAAGTGCTTTTTTGTAGGGATTTTGTCTTATTGGTTGGAGGATTTCATCGTGAACTGAGATTAGTTAGGGAACCACTGGAAAATCAACTGGGAGTACTGGACAACTGTTTCGTCCTAGTTCGTGGCTCTTCAATAGTACGCACTCACCGCCAGGGTTCGAAACCGGCACGTTCTGGTTACAAGGTGAGCTCGTAGACCATTGGACAACTAGGACCCCATCCAAGCTAGCTCATGGATTCTAACTTCTACCAATTTATGACATAGCTCGACCAATTCGCAATGTCTTCTTCGATGAGTTACTGCCTCACCTTCAACCTGCTGTACCTTACTGGATACAGCTTCCCACTAGAACCCCAGGTTTAACTGCCTGAATTGGGCAAGTCGCTAGTGAGCATCAGATTAATTTTCATGTATTGGTTTTGTAGGGAATTTTGTTTGATTGCTTGGAGAATTTCATCATGAATGTCATCAATTAGAGAACCATAGGAAAATCTGGGATTAAAGGATATCTGTTCTGTCCTAGTTTGGAAATCGTCAGCAGTACGCACCCACCGCCAGGGTTCGAACCCAAGACCTTCTGGTTACAAGGCTAGCGAACTCGTAGACCAATTAGCCACTGGGACCTGTAATTAATTCATGTTTCCTGACGTGATTTCATGTAATTCTCGAACAAATAGTAATTGACATATTTTACTGTTTATAATAAGTGAGTTTCATTTCGCGCTGTAACCTGTTAATTCATTTAGTTTGCGTGAGAGTTATTTAAAGCGAAAGGTGGTGGTTTAATGTTCCGTGTGGAAGAAATGCTTGATGACAGAAGTGTAGCCGTCCAAGTGAATAACAACCCACCAAATGACTTCGAATGGGATTCCGGAGATATGTCCAACATTAAATCATTCTTCTGATTTTGTTTTTCTGTTGGATGAGACGCCAGCACACCAATTCCAACAATGGATAATGGGGGGGTAATCTAAAAAAAACAGTGTTCCAGCTATAGAATAGGTCATTAAATGACATGATATACAACCGTTTTGAAGATTTCATGTACTAAAAGTGGTATAGACTAACACTGAGGGAACCCCAATAGCAAACCGTCCTGTAGAATTATTTTATCTCCCGTAAATTGTTTTCTGTAAAGTTGTTCAAGGTTATTTGGTTGGTCGTTTGCTTGGGTCGCTATACTTTAGTCTAGCCAGGATTTGATTAGTTACAGGCTTGGTTACGAGATGACATCAGTCCAAAGAACCACCGGAAAACTAAGGTGTATTGAACGACAGCTGTTTCATCCTAGTGTGGAACTATTCAGTAGTACTCACCCACCGGGGTTCGAACTCAGGACCTTCCGTTTACAAGGCAAACTTATAGACCATTCAAACACTGGGACCCGTCCAATTGCACATGAATTCCAACTTCTACCAATTCGACATAGGTATATGGTGCAACCACTAGTCATTGTTATAGGCCGAGTAACTGTTCTGTTATCTGACTTGTTGGACTCCACTGGTATTCTAATTGATATCAACTCGTGATCAACCTTGTTACTAATCCAATCCATGCAAACCAACACTTGATAATTAATTACCCGGGGTTCTAATGAGAAGTCGAGTCCAGTTACTTGTCTGTGACATTGGTTGGCGGTTATCATATGTGTCCCAAATATTGATCACTAGTCTTCTACGATTAAATAATTATAATGAGTGAAAGAGCTTTTACAAGACGCAGTCTTTCTGGTTTTTGTGCTTAGAAAATTGCACGCATCCCCTAACAACAGCTCGCCTTTTTTCTTTTACTTAATATTTCGCTTTTTAAAGTCCGTATCAGTATCATTGAGGGAGTCGCCTAGTCATTTGACAGTATGATGGATGGTTTAGATTTAATTTTTTAAAATTTCATTCTTTCACGTTCCGACTGGAACATAAGACAAGGCAAGGTTTCAAACTAGAGTTTTGAAGATTCTGCAACAGGAGTTTTATTTTCACGTGAGGTGGTTGCTAGCCTCACACCCACCCAACCTTCCGTTTTTAACGGCCTTATTACAGACTTAGCGGGGTTTAGGTGTCCGTCGGTCGGGAATTGAATCCTGGACCACGTGGGGTTGTGATTAGCCAAAGTTCTACCACTTAACCATCCACTCAGAGATGTTCAAATTAAAATAAAATAGGTCAGGATTTCTGTGTTTGAAATTGATTCAGTGAACTCACTGGACGGTTTATGTGTCAAGTATATGTAAATTGTATGTTTAAACTATTCAAAGAAAATCACCTGTATTATTCGCCTTTTGTATTGATTTGTGGCACAGGTTTACATATTGATTGATCGTAATGACCTTGCGTATTCATCATTTGTCATGGTTACTAGGTTTGGTTGGTTGTGGTTGTGGTGATGGTGATGGTGGTAGACTGAAAAGTAGTCACATTTATCGCCGATATTTATAAAATACCAACCTACCTTTTATGCTAATTGAGTCTCACGCTTTTCTATTTGTGGCTTTGATTTAACCCAGTGGTCTGCTCTCTCTCTACATATATATATATATATATATCATAGAATGTGAACCGGAATTTTGCGTTCCTTGCTACGCTTTCGGAAATGACGTAGTTGTATTCTTATTTGTGTGCGTGTGTGTGTGTTCTACTAGTGGTTTACTTATTTCAAGTAAAGTGGACCAGGTACCCAGCAAGATAGAAACAGTTTAAGTGGGTCCTACTTAAACATTAAATTTTATGTTACCTTTTAAACTAATATTGTTTCAAAGGCCTAACTATGATACATGCTATGTGATTATAATCCTACTGTCAAGTTTATGTTGTTGAAAGTCGATTGGCGTGTTTAACCTTGATAATAAGAACAAAGTAGTTCAGCGAAGAGTCACTTTTCGGCGAATTCATTCACTTAGCTGTACAGTCGCAAATATATATACAACTATTTTGTGTGTGTGTGTTTGTACATTGGGTTTGTCAAAGTCAAAATAACAGTTAATGTGGGTTGTTGATTATATCATCAAAATAATGATAACCTTGATAATACGTATAAACTACTTATGCACTTGGCTTTCCACCAGTGTGTTCAGATGAAAACTACACCCGACTTACTTTAACCTGGACAACTAAATAGTATCATAAGTCTTCACACGGCATTTGTGTTCACATCCAAACGTATAAATACCAGATTAGTCTGCACCGACATCTAGTTTATGGGTAGGAAGAGAAGTAGTAAGGTGTGTGACCATTTCATTTATTTTGGAAGTTGTATCAGGTACAGTGGACTGATTACTGATGATGTAACGACATCGTTTAGTGAGAAAATCAACAGATATTTATAGATTTTTATGTACATTATTGTCAGTGGAGAAGCAACGTCTTCTTGCTGAAGGTTATTCTGTACTACTTGTGACCGTTTCTTAGAAAGTTAAGCCATATATCTGCAAATCGTATTTGCACACGTTAAATCTTCTGTGATTGGTTGGTGAGTTCCTCAAGGTTAAGCTTTGTTATTGTCTTTTCTCATGATACTAAAGGCTCGTCTGGTGTTTGCCAGCTTTAGCTATCCTCTGGTGTAGATGTGATATCTAGCTATCGGGAAAAGGACGATGTAAGTACCTGGCAGTAGTTCACTCTGTCCTTCTTTTTGGTTGTGAGATATATCTGTTGAGGGTGGAGGATATGAAAGGACTAGACGTCTCTTACCATAACTGTTAAGTGGCATACTATAGTGAGTAATGCTGAGGTTATGTAAGGAGGGGAAATCAGTCGATGAGATTGTGAAAGTGTATAGATTAAAATGGCTAAGGCACGTATCACATATGCCGAGATATACCCCAACTCTTCGAGCGATATTAGATGATGACGTAAGATTGGGTTGGAAAACAGTTTGAGATGGTAAGACCAAAACATAGCATGAATCCATGCTGTCTTTAACTGCTGGTTTAAGTCACGTAGGGAGGTGTAGACTGCTTGGTTCGGTTCTTCAGGATTCTAAGACCCAATGGCTGGAGACTATAGGTGAATTGAATCAAAATAGTTCTTAGTGGTACAGATGCATATTCACTCTCTATGAACTCCTAGATCCATAGTAGTTCCTGTAAATTTGTACTTTTCTCTGCCTTTGTCTGTTCTGTGGAGTATAGCAAATTGAATCTCTGCACTATTTTTTTTACAAAGTTCTACGTTCAAAATCCAATCAGCATTAGATTAGATAAATGAGTGGTGTAATTTAATAGCTTTAGACTTTGTGCATCCTTCAATCATTCACACTTTAAGTGGTAGATTTAAAGCTTCAATTAAAAAAGTTATATAACTATGACTCATATACTAAAAGATTGTTAATATAGAGGAATATTTTGACTTGTGTTGTGTCAGTAATTCATCTTACTTACCAATCATTAGATTTATGTTTTGAACCAGACCCTGTTTAATCTCTTTTTGGGCAGTTTGAGGGTAGTGCTCACTTTCACGCAATAAAAATTCATCTCTCATAGTAATGCATCCAAAACCATCAGCAGTATCACAACCGCCCATTTATAAACACATAGATCTGGTTAGAATGGAAGTTGAATATATATGCTTTATAAGTTAGTACTATGCATTGGTTATCTCCAATGATTTTCCTGATTGCAGTAGACTGGATAATGTGACAAACAGTGG